GGGGGGGCTGCTGAGAAACGTGGTCATGCTAAGTCACCATTTCTAGAATAAACAGTGTCGCTTACTCCAGAAGCTTCTAGTGTGTGCGTGTGCGTGTGTGTGTGTGGCTCTGAGAGCTGAGGGCGTGTGCGTGGCGTGGGGCCGGCTCCGTGCCGGCTGCACCTGCCTGACTCCTGCCTGCGTCTCTCCGCTCAGAGCAGCAAGATGGGCATGGAGGCAGTGATGGCACTGCTGGAGACCACGCCCGACATGCCGGCCTGCGTGGTCAGCCTCTCCGGGAACCAGTCCGTGCGGCTGCCCCTCATGGAGTGCGTGCAGATGGTGAGCACCCGCCTGCCCGGGTGCCGGCATGGGGGCTTCCCAGGGAGGTGCCTGGGGCTCTCATTACCCCCTCCCCGCCACAGCCCCTACGCTGCCTGTCCTTCCAGGCCCCTCAGGGCCCAGCCAGCAGGCCTGCGGCAAGCCCCCCGCCCCTCGTCCCCCTGGGCGCTCGGCTGCTGCTCCGCGCGTTACACGGAGCGAGCGGCAGGTGCATCGCGCCTTCTGTTGTGGCCCCCCTTCCGAGTGTGTTGCTGCGCCCCCCAGCGGGCCTCAGGGTATCCGAGGCCTGCAGTCCTCCAGGTGGGGGAGGGAGGTGTGAGCACATCCCCAAGGTGCCCCCAAGGTAAGACAAGCCCGAGACAGGTGTGGGAGCTGCAGGGAGCTGGGGAGCCCGTGGGGAGCCTGGGGGGGTAGGTGGGGGGAGCCCAGGACACTTAGCTTCCCAGAGCCAGTGGGACAGACTGGCTTTGCAAACTGGGCAGGGTGGGGCCCTGGGGCTAGGATGGGATGGGGAGGGGGAGTGGGTGGCCAGAGCCCTCGGGACGTCTCACGTGGTCGGAGCAGGGACCATGGGAGCGGGGAGTGGGGAGCGGAGAGAGGCTGGCTGTGGGGACACTGGGGTACGGGGCTCGGTAGGTTTGGGGGGCCCTGCAGCTGGGGGCAGAGCGGGGCCTGCCCAGGGGAGGTGGGCTGGCTCAGGAGAGGGGCCTCCCTGGCGCTCCTCCTGGAAGATCCTCCTGCGGTGACCTCCCCTGGGCCCCGCTTTCGGGAAGGCTGGTTGCCAGTGGGTGGAGGGTCTAGGGGCCAGAGCAGCCTTACCCTTCATTCCTAGGCCCTGGCTGCCCCCCACCCCCTTCCCAGGGCTGAGGGGGAGCGAGGCCCCGGTGCCCCTTCCAGGGAGGGGAGGACCTGGCAGGCCAGGTGGGGTCCCCTCAGCCCCTCAGCCCTCTCGATTCCGGCAGTGACAGCTGCCCGGCGGGTCTAGGACAGGCCCCGTGCGTTGGGCTCAGACGCATGTACCAGGCCTCAGCTTCCAGCCTGTGCATCTTGTTTTCTTTAAGACCAAGGAGGTACAGAAGGCCATGGATGAGAAGAGGTTTGAAGAGGCCATCCAGCTCCGGGGCAGGTGAGGGCCTGGAGGGCCTGGTGTCGGGCAGCTGTCTGCTCAGTGGGGCCACAGCAGACTCCGAGCGGCTCGCACACGGCCACCCCCCAACACGGGGCGTGCCCACCCGCAGAGGTGGCGCTCTGAGACCCTCCTCCTAGGGCACGCGTCGTGTGGGAGGGGCAGGGCCCACCAGTGTCCGAGAAGTAGGCAGGCTGTGTGGATGTGCCCCGCGGGGCTGGCGGGGCCTGCAGGGCGCTGGGGGGATGGGGGGAGACACAGCACAGGGAGGGCACCTGGGAAGGGGGAGGGGGAAGCTACAGAAGGCAGCAGCGAGGCAGGCCCGGGCGGGGGGCAGGTCAACTGGCCCTGCAGGTCTGCTTCCTGTGGTTCCCGTGGCCACGCTTCCTGCCCCGCCGTGGAGCTGCTGAGACCACGCAGGCTGAAAGCGGGCGCTTGCTTTGCGGAGAGGGGCGTTGGGATCGCGTGTCCGTGGGGGTCTCTGCTGCCCGGCGATGGCGCCCAGCCAGGGTCCGTGGCAACGAGAGTGGGGAGGTGGGCCACACCCGTGTCCAGTCCCTCTGAGGCTGTGCTGCTGGCGCCGGGCTGTGCTGAGCTGTTTGGGCTGCGCCGCTCATGACCCGCTTCCCTTCCAGGAGCTTTCAGAACAACTGGAACATTTACAAGCTGCTCGCGCGGCACCAGAGGATCCCCAAGGAGAAGGTGAGGGGCGAGCCCGGAGCCCACACCTGGCCGTGCCCTCGGCCCCTCCCGCCTGCCCTGCCACCCCGCCCCGGGAGCGGGCAGCTGGCCCCACCGAGCCAGGACCCGCCCTCCTGTCTGGGGTCTGAGCTGTGAGCTGAGAGGACCAGACCTGGCCTCTGCTTGACCAGCAGGTCCCAGATAGGCCTGGGGATTACGCTGGCCCGTTGCTTATCAAACGGCTGGAGGTACTTAAGTCAGGAGAGGAGGTTTAACTCAGGAGACGAGGGATACAGTGTTATGACACGTTCCAAAATAGCTAAAACCCTCAGGAAATGGACTCTCTTCGAAATAAAGATGACAGCAGGCTTCGTTTCTGAAACCACAAGGGCAAGGAAAGGGTCCCACCGAGACAACCTTGGATGGTGGGGTCCTGGCCCCCCATTTATCCCGAGAGCTGGCCAGGGCTGGTCAGCGGCTTCTGGCAAGGCAGGGTGGTCCTCACATCCCCTTCCAGAACCGCCTGGGGCACAACCACCTCTGGCGCGTCAGGCTGGTATTACCAGGACCCACTAGAGCCAGGCTGCCCAGGAGAGCCAGTGGCCACACGTGGCTACGGAGTGCTGGCAACATGGCTATCCTAGTGAGGTGTGCCTGCATGCCACGCGGGCGCAGGTTCTGGGCAGCAGCGAGGGAAACGGGTGTGGAGGCGCCCGATAGCAGTGTCTTACATTGATTCCGGGTTGAGGTGATGACGTGTTCGTTCTATCAGGTTCCAGCAACCCTAGGATTGAAAGGGCATCGCCTGCTTCTTTGCACTTTCTTACCGTGGCTGCGGTGGCCCCCTTCCCTCCATGCACCCGTGCTGCTCGCCAGGGACTTTCTGTGGTGCTGTTGCCCTGAGCCCTGCGCGTGGGGTGGTTGCCCAGGGCCTCCAGGCAGGTGCCAACTCTGGCCTGAGCCACTGCTGCGCCGCGAGCCGCGCTTGGCCAACAGCGGCCCGAGTCCCGCTCCTACCTTTGGCCGAGGACTTTGCGGTAGCAAGCGGGGCCTGCACCGTAGCTCATGTGGTCTTGGGCAGAGCCTTGCGGTGTCAGGAGGACAGGTCTTTGTCGTGCCCGGGGGAGTCCCATCTCTGGACCGTGTCCAGGCTGCCACAAGGACTGGGGCCTCTTCTCCGGAAGCGGCTCTCTGCTGACTTCTGTCTGGGTCGGCGGTCCCCCGCCCCGACCCGGGGCTTATGCTCTTGTCTCCCCACCTTCTCTGAAGACCAGCTTCTCCCTGGCCGTCCTGAACGTGGGGGCCCCAGCGGCTGGCATGAACGCGGCCGTGCGCTCGGCGGTGCGTACCGGCATCTCCCAGGGCCACACGGTGTACGTCGTGCACGATGGCTTTGAAGGCCTGGCCAAGGGGCAGGTAGGTGTAGCCGTGCCTGAGGCTGGGCGGGGGACGGGGCCTGCGGTGGTGGGCCTGTGTGTCTTTGGTCAGTTTAGGACGTGTCCCCGGCTTGCTTACGAGCAAACAAGGACCAAGGGGCTCGCGATGTGGGTATAAGGGCCAGGCCAGGTCCTCTCCTTGGGGTGGAGGGGGAGCAGCTGGGTCCACTTTAGCCCGGCCCAGGCCCCGAGACCCCGCTCTGACCTGTGGTAGGATGGTCAGTGCCAGGCATGGCCTCTGTCCCCCCTCCCCCGAGGACGTGCGCTCCCTGAGGACAGGTCCATCACCTGAGGAGGGGTGGGCCAGCGCCCCTGGCCTGCCCCCCTGAAGCCGTGCCTCCCCCTTGCAGGTGCAAGAAGTGGGCTGGCATGATGTGGCTGGCTGGCTGGGGCGCGGTGGCTCCATGCTGGGGACCAAGAGGTGAGCACCTGGCTACCGACGGCAACAGGGGGGATGCAAGGGAAACCAGCCCTATGGCCCTGGGCTAGGTCTCCTCTGGCTGGTGACCTGTCCGGAGCGGGACACAGACCTCCTACCTGGGGCTTCCTGGCCAAGAGCTCACCTGAAGTCACCTGCATAGAGGAAGCCGCTGGGACGGCTCCACACCTACAGGAGGGGTCCCCTCGGGCAGGAAGTGAGGCTCACAGCCAGGCTGTCGGGAGGGCAGTGGCCAGTGCCCAGCAAGGGCATTGAATGGGTGCCAGGCCGCTGGTGGGCCCCGCCGCCCCCGGGTGCCTCACCTTTGCTTCCACCTCTAATCGGGAATCCCACCACCACGCCCCAGGCCTGCCTTCTCCCGAGGTCAGGCATGGTGCGGACGTGGGTCCTTCCAGCCTGGCGTTCTGTACAGATGCAGCATGTCTGTCTGATTTATCTCCCACTGCAGGACACTGCCCAAGGGCTACATGGAGAAAATTGTGGAAAACATCCGCATTCACAACATCCACGCCCTGCTGGTCATCGGAGGCTTCGAGGTGAGGGGGCAGCTGCCGGGGAGCAAGCGGGGGTGGAGGAGGCCCCAGGGTGTGGGCCGCCGAGGTGGCCCTTCTGGAAGCCCCATGTGCAGGAGGTTACCTTGAGCCAGCTGGACCGATGCGGCCACCAGAGCGAGTGTGGCGGGGCTGGGGAGGAGGGGGAGGGGCAGGGGCAGCTCTGACCGCAGGGGAGGGACAGTGGGGGTGGGACGGCCCAGGCAGGAGGGTCGGTGGCCTCAGCCTCCCGCTGCTGAGGCGGTGGTCCAGAGCGTCTCTCAGTGGAGTTGTGGGTGGTAGGGGGCACGTCGGTGTGACGCTGGGGCCTGGTCAGCCCCCGTAAATGACAGATGCCCACTCTCGCCCTTTCCTGAAGGAGCCCAGGCCCCGCAGACTGCATGGAGTGGGCTGGGGTCAAGGCAGGGTGGGCGGGCCTCCTTCCTGTCCTCCTTGGAGTCCAGTTTCCCCAGTGAAGGCGGCTGCAGAGCTCCTGGGTGGGGCCCGCCTGGTCTCAGTCCTGGGGTGTGGCAGGTGGGCCCAGACGCCCATCGCCAGGCACACAGCCGGGAGCAGGACCCAGGGGCCCCTCCTCCTGCCTCGTCCGGCAGCCCGGCCTCTCCGGGGCCGGCCTTGAGCGCCCCCCCATTCCTGCAGGCCTACGAGGGGGTGCTACAGCTGGTGGAGGCCCGCGAGCGCTACGAGGAGCTGTGCATTGTCATGTGTGTCATCCCCGCCACCATTAGCAACAACGTGCCGGGCACCGACTTCAGCCTGGGCTCCGACACTGCCGTCAACGCCGCCATGGAGGTGGGGCATGGGGCCGCTGCCCCCACTTAGGCCGGCAGTGGGCGGACGGGGCGCCTGGCAGGGGAGAGCGTCCAGAGGGGCTGCCGAGGGGTGGGATGGGGTGCGTGGCCCCCACCGAGGCTGGCAGCCTGCGTGGGGAGTGGGCAGGACCCAGCTGCCCCCGAGGTCTCAAGGATGGCAGGGAGGTTGTGACTCTGGGGTCACCAGGGTGTGAGGATGACGGTGGTCAAGGCCGCCGCTGACCTAACTGAGCTACTGTACTGGTGTGGACATCGGGCCACGGTTCTGTCCAGTGCAGCAGCCACATGTGGCTCTGGGGGAAACCCAGGGCTTCGGATGGGACATGGGAGGGTGGGAGGTGGAAGCCCGGTTCCTGGAGGGGTCCCAGCAGGCTGGCGCCACCAGGGGCTCTCTGGGGGCATCCCCACCGCTGTCCCCACCCTCTAGACCTTTCCCACCTTCGACTGTGACCCCACATGAGCCCAGCTTCCCCAGGGGTTCAGCACCTCCGTTTTGGGGGGATCTGAAGCTGGAAGGGGGCGTCTTGCTCAATCAAGTGCTGCGTGTTTTTAGATGAAGGAGAAAATACAAGTGAAACAAGAGGCTAAAGGAGATCCCACCCCACCCCCATCTCCTGACCCAGAGTCCCATGATCCTCAGGGGTTTTCTTTGAATTTACCTCCCATCTGAACTGGCTGTGGGTCGCCCACGGCCCCTCTGAACCTTCTGGTGCCCCTGCCCCTCACCAGATGAGGGAGGACAGGGTTCGGTTTTCATTTGCAGCTCTGATTTCTGGTTGAATATTTTTCTATATGTTTATTGCCCATTTGTCAGGGGTTTTTTTTGAAATTATCTTTTCCCACCATTTGCCTGTTTTTCTCTGGGCACGTTTTCTTTTTTATTTGTAAACGTTCTTTACATGTGTAGGCTATAGACCCTTTGCCAAACATTGCAGCCGTTTCCTCCACTTTGCTCTTCATGTGTTATCTGGGGTCTATCCTCATAGTTCAGACACCAGTGACCTACATATCTGTTTTATTTCTCTTTCCTCAGTTCTTTATTTAACGCTTGAATTTCGTTAAACTGTTCAGTTAGGATTGTCATCGCTTGTCATGTTATCATTAGCGTCTGCAGGGCACTTACTTCATGTGTCGTCAGGGCCCCTGTTTACAAAGACCCTGCCGTGGCAGAGTGTCTTCCCCCGTTGGCAGATGAGCAGATTAAGGCCCACTGTGTCCCTGGCCCAAGGTCAGGGAGAGCCTCCTAGAGGGTCCCTGGCCCCTACCCACTAGATGCTAGTGACGCCCACCTTGTCCTGGGGGCACAAACGCCCGGGCTGAGGACCCAGTTCCATGTGGCCGCGTGGAGGGCATGTGATGAGGGCTGCCGGTGCCCTGGGCACGTGGGGCAAGGGCTGTCCCAGCCGCATTGGGAGAGAGACCCGGGTCCCTGCAGCGTCGTGGGTCCCCGCAGTCCGAGGGGAGAGCTCTGACCCGCACCCTGGCCCTCAGAGTTGTGACCGCATCAAGCAGTCGGCCTCGGGGACCAAGCGCCGTGTGTTCATCGTGGAGACCATGGGGGGCTACTGTGGCTACCTGGCCACCGTGACCGGCATCGCAGTGGGGGCCGACGCCGCCTACATCTTCGAGGACCCCTTCAACATCCAGGACTTAAAGGTGAGCCAAGCCCATACCTTTCTCCCGGCCAGGCTGAAGGGGCCCCTCCTGAGACACAGCGGAGCAGGCCTGCAGAGGAGACGGGGCCCCTGCCAAGCAGCCACGGTCCAGCAGGCTGGGGGCTCGCTGCCTTCGAGGGGACACAGCCCGTGACCCTCTGCACCCCTTCCCCGATCCCGGGCAATGCCCCTGCCCCCCTGTGGCCTCCGTGGCCGCCCCCGGCCTTCACCCCGCGGCTTCACGGTTCAGCCACAGGCCCACACCTGCACCACCCACACAGTCCTCCAGCAACCACAGCCCGGTCCCCCCCCCACACCCCCGCGACCCCCCCGCGCCGGCCCCCAGGCTGATCTGGGTCTTCTCAGCCGCACCTGTTGGCTAGTCCGGAATAGGCCCTCCCAGACAGCCTCAGGCTGCGGGAAGGGGTGTGCAGTGCAGGCTGCTGCCCCCGACTCTGCCCAACCCAGGTCTTCACCCCACAGGCCAACGTGGAGCACATGACCGAGAAGATGAAGACGGACATCCAGAGGGGCCTGGTGCTCCGGTGAGGCTGCCGGCGAGCCGGCAGGGTCCAGCAGGGGGGCAGCTGGGTGGAGCAAGGCTGGGGGGCTTAGGAAGGAGTGGGTGGGGTCGGGCTTTCCTGAGAGCATGTGGCCCGGCCGGAGGGGCTCAGCATCCAGGCGAGGCTCAGGCCTCCCCTTCCGCCCCCACCCCGTTGTTCTTCCCAGAAACGAGAAGTGCCACGAATACTACACCACGGAGTTTCTGTACAACCTGTACTCCTCCGAGGGGAAGGGCATTTTCGACTGCAGGACTAACGTCCTGGGCCACCTGCAGCAGGTATGGGGTGGGGGAGCACGGATTCCGTGGAAGGCTGCTCCCTGGCCCCCGGCCCCCAACGGTGCCCGGGCCGACGGGTCCCAGGAGGCCGTGGCAGGATGAGGACCCCTCTCTGTGCCCCTCCTCATGGGGCACCTGGCTGTAGGTGCCCCTTCGTCCTCACACCCCTGAGCAAGGCTCTCGTCCTGCCCAGGCCTCAGCCTGAGGAAGGGGCGGGGCCGGGAGGCACCTCCGCCCTGACAAGCCCCTCCCCTTCTGGCCCCCTGGAGGCCCCGCGGGAAGCCCGCGCTGTGGGTTCCAAGCAGACTGAGGGCCGTGTGCACCCCTAGGGCTCCTCTCTCCCGGGGGTCTTTGCTCACTGGTGGTGGGACCTGCCTGCCGGATGCAGGGGCCCACGGAGGCCCCCCAGTCAATGAGTAGGCAGCCCACTGCCCAGCCTCTGGAGGTGGCTTTTAGGGGGGTTTAGAGGTGGGATGGAGAAAGGGGCCAGAGTGCTGCAGGTCGAGGGGACGGGGTGTCAGCCCGGCAGCGCTCACCTGAGGTCACGGCAGGGCCTGGTTGCTGGGCTCGGGCGAGGGCTCGGCTGCCTGAGGCCCAGCTCCTCCCTGAGGCCAGAACCTGGCCTCACCCACTGTGTTTCCAGGGCGGGGCTCCCACCCCCTTCGACCGGAACTACGGCACCAAGCTGGGGGTGAAGGCCATACTCTGGATGTCGGAGAAGCTGCGGGCAGTCTACCGCAAGGGTGCGTGAGGGAGGTGGTGGCTAGCGCGACCTGTCCCGCCGGGGGCCCTGGGTGTGGGGCTGCCAGCACGTGCCTGTGTCCACAGGGCGGGTGTTCGCCAACGCCCCCGACTCGGCTTGCGTGATCGGCCTGCAGAAGAAGGCGGTGGCCTTCAGCCCCGTCACCGAGCTCAAGAAGGACACCGACTTTGAGTGAGTCCCTCCGAAGAGAGACCTGTCTGGACCCCTGATCGCACAGGGCCGCCCCGTCCCCACGCCCAGGGCTGACCCCGGCTCCCTGGTCCTCCCGACGGGGCAGAGAGTTGAGTGTGGGGTCAGCCATGGTCGGGTCTGCGGGCGCTCGCGGTCAGCCCACCCCTCCTGGGGGCGGGCCCCGGCGCCTCTGAAGCGCAGGGCCCGGAGCTAGTCTCCACATGTCCCGGGTCCCGACGTCCATGTGTCCCGAGGGGGCCCGGGAGCTGCCCCGCCGCAGGCACCGCATGCCGCTGGAGCAGTGGTGGCTGAACCTGCGGCTCATGCTGAAGATGCTGGCGCACTACCGAATCAGCATGGCCGAGTACGTGTCCGGGGAGCTGGAGCACGTCACCCGCCGCACCCTCAGCATCGAAACAGGCTTCTGAAGCCGCGTCCCTGCCCCGCCCCGGCCTGCGCCCGCCTCCCGCCCCCCCCTCCCCCGCCCCCACTGTGGATGGAGCCTGGGCTGCTGCCTCCTGGAGCCTGCGGGCAGGCGGGCGGGGGGTGCACCCTGGCTCCGGGACTCTCACGGCCCCAGTTCCAGCCTGCTGTCCGCTCGGCTCTCCCCCAGGACAGAGCACCCTGGGCACCCACCTTACAGCGCAGGGGTATGTGGGGGCGTCCGCGCTTGGACACCGCCGCCCCTCTGCCTCGGTACCCATGTGGCCCGGAGCCTCTCCCCGAGCCGGCCCTGCACCCTCACCAGCCCTGGGGGCGCAGCAGCCTGGGTCTCCGTGCCGGAGGGTGGGGACGTGCCCCGGCGCGCCTCCCTGTGCCCCTCCCCCTGTGTGCACTGGCCACCGGGGCTGAGCAGCGCTTGTCACCTTTTTTAGAAATAAAATCACCCCGACTGTGGGGTGCTGTCAGTCTCTGGAAAGCAGGGCCTCCGGAACCTTCTAGGGAGGGTGGGCGGGCTGGTGGTTGGTAGCCCCTCACCTGCACACACGGGTCTGGGGGCCTCCTCTGGGCTCTGGGCCGAGCCCGGTCTCAGGGACACGGGCCCTCTGGGGCCGCACCCTCATCCCGGGACCAGCAGCCCCTGTCCATGTGATGAGCTGAGCCCCTCCATCCTGCAGGGTGATCTGGGGCCCCCAACCCCGTCCTGAGGGGTGACAGGCCTGGCCTGCCTCCCTCTTGGGAGGACTTCTGAGCCTGGTTCTTAGGCCCCAAGTCTGACCCAGAACGTTCCCCCCGATTCAGCCTGGGGTCTCAGAAGCACAGCCAAGGATCCCGGGGCAGGTGGCTGAGGGCAGGCGGCCCTCGCTCCGCAGTGGCGCCGGCACCAGGGTCTTCGGGAGGACGAACTGGATGTCGACCTCGTGGTCTGTGCTTGGCAGGTCCCCGTCACCCCTGCACAGGTTGCCCAACCACGTGTGTTCCCACTGCAGTCACCTGGGCCCTTCGTCCAGGGCTGCTCTGCCTGCACTCCTGCCCTTGGCACCCTTAGAGGTCAGGATGAGGTTCTGGGACCCAGGAGGTTTTGTGGGGAGGCCCACAGGCCAGGTTGGGGGTACCCGGGTGGGCGGGGGTCTCCCTGTCGGGCCCAGGCTGGGGCCCCACCATCTCAGGCTGCCTTCGTGTCCCTACAGACCCCGGCAGGGAGCCTCGGTGACTCCTGGGCGCCGCAGGCCTGGGTGGGCTGACCTGTGCTGGGGGCCCACGCCAGCCTCACTGTGTTGCCGAGAGCCTGGGAGCTCCTGGGTGCCCATTTCTGGAGCTGGGGCTCCTCCGGTCTGCTTTGCCAGCCCTGGGGCAGGCCAAGGGGGGACAGTCCCCCAGCGGTCTAAGCCTCTGTCTCAAAAGACCAGGGGCAAGTTTCCAGGGCCCAGAAACCTGAGTGTGTATATGTGCGTGTGTGTGCATATGTGAGCGTGCCTGTGCATGTGTGTGCATGTGCACACCTATGTGCCTACATGTATGTGTGTACACACACCTATACACATGAGCGGGAGGCTGGAGCTCAGGAGTGGCGTCTCCATTGGGGGTGACCCTGGCTGGTGGCAGCCGTGTCCCCTCTGTCCTCACCACACGCCTGCCCCAGCCAGGAGGCCACGCTGGCCCAGGCGCTGCCCAGTGCCGGCCTCACACTCGCCCGGCTCCGCTTGACCCCTGTGGTGCTGGGGCCAGGCCCTCCCAGGGTGCCCAATGCCCAGCCTGGGGAAGGCGAAGGAGCACTGGAAGGCTACTTTTCCAGCGTTTTCGGGTTGGTTTGGCTTAAATGTGCAGTGTTTGTGGATGCTGGTATAACGAGCACTTGGCGGATGCCTCAGCAGCCGTGAAGGACCCAGCCCCGTGCTGGCCTCCGAGGCGCGGATGCGCCCTCCAGGCCTGCCGCCTGCCTTCCGAGCACTCAGCCCTCCCCAGGGTGTCCCGCGCAGGGCACACAGGAGGCTGCCTGCCAGGCTGGAAGGACGTCCGCGGCCACCTGTCCAGCAGCTGGGAGGCCCAGGCAGAGGCTGCGGCAGCTGCAGAAGGGCCAAGGTGTCCAGCCCTGCTCCTCCCTCCCTGTCGCCCCCCTTCCTCCTCTCAGCCAGCGCCTGGGCTCCCCAAGCAAAAGGGGGCTCCCTGTTTGGCCGGGTTTGGTCTCAGCTGGACCTTGGCCCTTCTGAGCTGCCTGTTGGTAGAATCCCAGTGGCAGCAGGAGGGTATCCGCTGCCCCTAGTCTCTGAGCTCAGGGAGGGAAGGCCCACGCCCTCCTTAACCCTGATCCGGGGATGCCTGGAGAGGGGTGAGGTGGGGCGCCGAGGTCACCGGATTAGGGCAGGCCCACCAGGACACTCCCTTCTGTTAACTCAGAGTCACCTGATTAGGGGCCTTAACTACAGCTGTGCAGCCCCTTCACCTTGGCCATATACAGCCGTATATCCATCACGTTCATGGACTGGCCCCCCATTTGGGGGTGAGGATCTGGTAGGGTGTACACGCCAGGGGTCTGGGACCTGGGGCCACCTCAGAATCCTACCTCCCGCCACAGACAACAAGACTGGGCCTCAACTGCAGGAAAGCATGTGTGCAGCAGTTTCTCAGAACAGGATGGGGGTGGGGTGTGAGGCCAAAGGCGCGTTTCAGGGGACATGGCTGGGGAAGGAAGGTGCTGCAGGCCCAGGAATGGAGTGAGCCAGCGACTGGGCATCACTCTCGGGCTCCCTGAGGCCAGGACAGGGCCCTGGGAGGGGCCGGGTGGGGTCTGCTGCACACTGGGGTGCTGGGCAGGTGTCCACGTGGTCTGGAGAGCAGGGGTGATGACCCACCTGCCTTGGGAAGCAGCCGGATCCCCACGATTCCTGCAACCCCCGCCTCAGCCCCACTGGTCTAGGGCCACCCGACTGAGCAGGCTGGGGAGGGCTTGAATCCTGAGCCCCTCTCAACCCTAAAAGCACCCCCGAGGCCCAGGACGGTCCTGGAGGGCAGCTCTCCCAAAGCCATGGCCCCCTCCCTGAGCCTGGTGCCCACCGGGGAGGATGCCAGGCAGGCTCTGGGAAGCAGGTGACCACAAACGCATAGTTTTTCTGTCTCAGCGTTCTTGCATTCTGTCTCACTAGGCAGAGACTGTAATTTTAGGCCCTGGCAAACACTGCTATTCCTGCGAGCTTTCTGGGGAACACAGCCCATGAGTCAGTCTTGCGGAGGTGATGGAACTTCGAGAGCGTCCACCAAAGTAGACGCTTGTGCAGCAGGTTCAACTAGAGCCCTTCTCCGTAATTGTGCTGGCGGCAGGGCTCGGCAGGTGCTGGAGAGCATCGAAGACCACCCCAGAGGCTCCTGCGCAGGTGCACTCACGACAGGACTGTGGGAGGGGCCTCCCCTGAGGGCCTAAATGCAGGGGGGTGGGGGAGGCCCTCGGACACTGTCCCGGACCCTGGACAGTCCGGCCAGGGGATATCAAGGCCACATGCAGTGTTTGTCTCAGTCTGATGGTCGAGTTGGGCTGCTCACCTGTCAGGGCTTCTCACCTGTCGGGGTGCTCACCTGTTGAGGTGCTCACCTGTCAGCAGTCCCGCCCATTGGGCATGTGGGGACGGTACGGTGACGCCGTACTGGCTTGCCTACTTGTCGTCGTCCTGAGGAAGGGTTTACGCAGATGCTACACCCCTGGCCTGGCTAAGGTTCATAGGTTTGTCTCTTCCAACCCTGCCCTGCCCACCAGTCCCTGCAGAGGGGGCAGGGCACGTGTCGGGCTCCTCAGGCGAGCTGTGGCCACCCACCTCCCTCACGTGAGGCTGTGACGGGCAGCTTTGTCCTTTACGTAGAAATAGCAAAAAGTGACAGCCCGGCAAGAGCAGAAAGACGCCGGCTCCCCAGGGACCAGGCCCCGTGTCGAACAGGGATGAAGACGCTCAGGTCGGCAACAGCAGGACGCAGACCAAGCTCGGGGTCCTGCGTGCCCACGCCGTCCTGGCTGGCTGAGCGGCCGCAGGAGCGCAGGGCAGGCACAGCTCATACTGGCGGCGCTGCTGGCCTCACTCAGCCAGGCCAACGTTCGCATCCACTCCTAGCCGGGCCAGCGCTCTTCCTCGGCCCGAGAAGATCCGGTGCTCGCCACCGTGGCATCCCGCTCGGCGTCCCCAGGTGCTCCCACACCCTGGCGGGGCCTCTCAGGACCACAGGCTCCCCGAGAAGACACCGGAGCCCGTGTCCATTCACAGCGCCCTGGAGAACCACTGTCCTCAGGGGATGCTGGCAGCCAGGACCCCTTGTTTCTTGTCTAATTTCCCAACTGGTTTGACGGGGGCCCCGTGAACATCCCACAAGGGATCCCACAAGCATCCCAGAGGCCCCACAAACGCTTCCCGGAGGATATGACCAACGGAGGGAAGCCCCAGTGTCCTCCTGCAAACAGGGCAGCCCTGGGCTCGGGGACAGGGCGGGTAAGTGGCCCCTGGAAGGCTCCTTTCCACTCCCGCTCCTCCTGAAACTTGCCCCCAGTCAGCACGATCAGAGGGCGCCCCCGCTGTGTCCTCCCCAGAACTCGGGGCTCACCTCCTGATCCACTGTGGGGTCGGGGGAGCAGGCTGAGGGAGGAGGGTCTGCAGCTCAGCAAACTGGGGGGCACTCGGGGTCCCCACCCACCCGCCGGCCGGGAGACGGGGTGTCGCCTCCACGTGGGAGGCTCTGGCTGGGGTGACACCGGCCACCTCCTGGCTCTGGCTGCAGTGCAGCCTGGCCCAGCGCCCCACGTCAGGTCAGGACCCAGATCTCGGCCTGTCCTGCCACGAGTGTTGGACGCTGCGTGCAGCACAGGGGCTGCTGGCACAGGTGACCCAGCGGTGGGGTCTGAGATGCAGAGTGACCGCCCTCGTTCCTGGGCAGCAGCTCCGTGGGGAGCACACAGTGCATCTGGCCCACCTCTGGCTGCACTGACCAGCGTTTCAGACGAGCGATGTGTCCTCTTGGGTCTCAGCCCTTTCCTCCTTAAACGGGGGCCAACAGGACAAACACACAGGCCGTAATGCCAGCACCTGCTTTGCTCCGAAACCCCACCTTCAGGGTTACCTGGGGCCAAGTTCAGAGCTGGGACTATAACGTGCCCGTAAAGACCGGCGGCCTGGGGTCCAGGCCAGGGGTGGGTGCGCTTCGTCCTCGGTCCAGCTTGAGGGCTTCAGACGGGCACCAAGGGAGCAGGTGGCCAGGAGTGGGAGCCAGTGAGCTGACAGGAGGCTCTGACTAGGGGGCGGCCAAGGTGGGATGTGGGGGGAACTGAAGAGTCAAGGGGCTGAGGCGGGCAGCTCACCCCGACCGGGGTCTGAGTCGAGGGTCCCCGACTTAGGCGAACCAGATTGTGGGGCAGGGGAAGTGGGCGTGAGCCGTGCCTCGCAGGTGAGGAGAGGGAGGGTGTTAATGTCACATAAGCACACACAGCTTGTTCCAACCAGGACGGGGCTTTATTGAAGACATCCAACGTCCCGTAACACGAGAGAAGGCACAGGCACAGGCCGCGGCCACCCGTCCTAGATGGTCCTGCGTGGCGAGTCCCCGCTTCCCGCGGCCAGGCCTCACCCGCTGCCCTGAGAAGCACTGGGGGCCCAAGGTGAGCCACCGCCTTACCCGGGGCCCCCACGAGGCCAGCGCGAGAGGCCTGCACCATGCGTGCAGCTTCGTCTTCCCGGAGCCGGTGGTCTTCCGGGCTGGTGTCGTGCACACGCTGTGCTCAGTCCCCCTTGGGTCTGTGCAGCCCTCATGCAACCTGACACACCCTCGGCTCCCACGGGGACGTGGATGTTCCTGTACCAACAGGACACCAGTCCCTGTCATTTCAAGCCCAGCGAGAAGGGACCTCCCCTAACGGCTCGGAGGGCACCCTCCTCCCCTTGCACTGGGGGCACCAGGAAGGACCCCAGGGCTGTGGAGTCACTGCCCGCATCCTGGTCACCGCAGCAAGGCCTGTGACTCTTCCCAAAGGAAGAGAAAATAAGACGCTGTTTCCAGAAAGCGGTCCCTTCCCACGCGGCTGCTTCAGGTGCCCAGACAGAAGCGGCAGGCCTGTTGTCCAGGTCTTCTCACTCGGGCAGCACAGACCCTGTGTCGTGCGGGGCTCTCAAGAAGGGACAGAGTGCCCTGCAGACAAAACGTCCCTGGAGGCGGCAGGCAGCCCACCCCTAAGGTTGCCACCGTTCTGGAAGTCTCCTACGGTCAACAGAAATCCATCCCATGACAGAGTCAGACAACTGGCTGAGAAAACATGCACGGGCGACTGCCCTTACCTTTAACAAGAATGTCGAGGCCGTACCTGTCATTCAGGAAACATCTGCTTCCAGGTCAGACTTTGGAAAAATATTTATTAGGGAGGACGGCTGCAAAGCCCACCTTCAGGAAGAGGGGAGTCGAGGTGGCCCTGCCATACAGGAGGGCATCTGGCTACGGCCCCTCACAGCAGAGGGCACAGGGGCAGGTCTGCCCGGCCAGCCCCTCCTGCCCTGGCGTGGTGCCCATCCACAGCGAAAGCTCGGCTTTCCTGGGTGGGCGAGGCTTCCTAAGGACGCAGCCCTGTGCGCCGAGGCTCAGCCTGGGGTGGAGCAGAGGCCGCGGCTGTGATCCCCACCCTGCCAGGTGTTCGGGAGGATGCTGGACTTCAGCCCGGGGTCCCCGCTGACAGTCACTCCATGGCCTCCTGCAGCTCCTGCTTCTGCAGGGCCTGGAGCCGGCTGACCACGCGCTGGTGGACGGCTTCCAGCCCCTCGCTGTCTAGTTCCCGCAGCAACAGGAGGATGGCGGTCAGGATGTTGTTCTGGGGGCACAGAGAGCCACTGGGTGAGCATCACGCCTGCGGGGCTGGGCCGCCCACACCATGACACATGCGCACATCGCGGGAGCATAGCCTGCAGGAGGGCGGCCTTGCAGGCAACAGGTGGAGACTCCGGCGGACGGAAGCCACAGTCGTGGCACGGGTGTGGCACTCACGGCCGGCAGGGACTTCCTACGAACTGACTTACCTCCTGTTCACAGCCCTGAGGCCCAGAGAGGCTGGGCGGCAATGGAGCAGGGGCCAGAAGCAGGCTCTCAGCAACACGCACTCAAATGTACATGTGCTTAGTGTGTGCTGCACCCGTGTCCACATAGCTACACCTGGTTTCCATCTGCATTTGAGCAGGGCAACATTGTCATTTCTACTAGGAAAATTCTGGAAGGATTTTGCACAGGCGGCTACTTGAGCTGATCCCTCTTGTGGGATGACCTGAGGCACAGCCACAAGCCAGAGCGTGTGGCCCGTGTGGACACATGAGGACGTGGCTCAGGGGCTCACGCTTGGGGTGCTAACCCCTGGCTCTGCAACGCCCCAAGACTCCTGCTGCCCTTAAATCTCACCAGCCCTCCCCCGTGTCCCCAGGTCTTCCTGGCCACCGGCACCTTGCACTCAGAGGCTTGCGGGGGGCTTGATGCACACAGGGACACCCAGCCTGGCCGGGACCCTCGGTGGCAGAGCCAGGGCCCTTCTGTTCTCTGCTTTCAGAGCAGGTGTCCTGTTTGAGCAGGTTTGATGGTCTTTGGTTTGCATTTATGGCAGGCGCGGAGGTGAACCAGTGTCTTCAATCTCTGGTCCACTCTGCGCTGCAGAGGCCCTGGAGTGGGAGTGAGGGTGGCGGGAGCTTCAGGCCTTAGCCCACCTGCTGGGCAGACCTGCCACTGGGGACGTTACATGCCTCGGGCTCCTCCCAAAACATGTGGGAAGTGTGTGCAGGGACCCTGAGCTGCCCCACGCGGCCACCTCATTGAGGAGAGTGTTGCCACGAGGGGACAGTGACCTGCCGGGGTGGGGCAGGGCGGGGGAGACTAGCCACAGGCCAAGCGACTGCTGCCTAGATCGGCCTTCAGCCTGCGGTCACATCTGTCCACAGCCCTGGGGGCTGGCACTTCCAAGGATGGGGCCTCAGTCCATCCACTTCTGTACCGCCCGTGAGCTTTGCACGCATTGCATGAATGAGCGAGGCCCAGCTCGTAGCTTCGGGCAGCCCCGCTCAGACTGTGGTGCCCCCCCTTCATGATGCCACAGGGAGGTCACAGCACCTGACAGCTCTGGTCAGGCCGAGCCAGGGGCTGGAGCAGGTGCTGGGGGGTCACGGGCCTCCCCACAGACCCTGGTTCAGACAGCTCCCCTTCCCACGTAAGCCGGTGACGAGGTCCCCTCTGAGCTGAACTGACTGGTGACCCATTCCCCTGCCAATGACCGGCTCAGGGAACTGACATCGAGCCTGCTGGGGGTCACGGGGCACATGGGGAAGATGTTGCATGGGTAAGAGGACACACGGCAAGAAACGGCCCCACCCTTCTGCCGGCCGCCAGCCTGGAGCAGGGCATCCCTGTGAGCGCAGGATGAGCCCAAGCACAAGCCAGAGTGACACAAGAGGACTTGGAGGGAGCCGGGTCTTCGCTGATGTCACTCAACTGCCCACATGACCTACTTATCGTTCAGCCAACAAGCCGTGATCCTTACAGGGATGCCTATGGAGCCGTGGGGCCTGCCGCCTGGTCACTGCACAGGGACACTGACGCCGCCCTGGCCAGGAGGGTCCCTGCTTCTAACCGCAGGCGGGAGGCCTCTCCCCAGGCAGCAACCTTCCCGCCCCCAGACCACCCTCGGCACAGCCCCAGGCGCGGGGTGACCCCGCTGCGCACTCAGGCATCCCCTCCTCCGTCTGCCACGCCCAACCAGCTTAGATGTAGACACAGACACTGGACCCAGATGGAGGGCTTCCCACCCTCTAGGGCCTGGCTTTGTGTGTCCCTGTGGTGTCTCCAGCCCCCATCCCCCGACCCCCAGCCCCCAATCTCCACATTCTGGGGCCTCTTCCGGCCAGAGCAGCCTCTATCACACTCACCCTGTTCTTGCGACTGCTTGCGGCCGCCCTCTGCGAGAAGGAAGAAAACTGGTCCCGGGAAGGGCGCTTCAGGCCGAGCTGCCCTTGGATGCTGCTGGCGGGGGCAGGCGGGGGGAGCACAGCGGTGCGTGAGGCCCGAGGGGCACGGAGCCCCGCTCGCACTGTTCACACAACATCTGTGGGTCTGGCGCCTCGGGGAACAGCGAGGAAGAGGCTCCTAAAAGTGGGCCCCACCCCGTCCGCAGGGAAAGCCCCACTGCAGGACTCTGCTTGTCGGGGGACAGGAGCAGTGGACGGGGGGCCGGGGCAGCTCTACTCCTCTGAGCCCTGGGGTCACCTCCCTGCTCCTGGCGCTCCCCCCGGGGCTGGGGGTGGGGCACTAGCACAAATGCCGCACGAGCCCTGGCCACGTGCCCTCCCCCTCCCGCTGCGGGACAGCAAGGCGCGTGGGCCGCATCTGCAAGCGGACGCCCGGCCTGGGCCCCGCTGTGAACAGTGGTCTCCACCACGTTCCCCGAGTCCAGTTTGTGCCCTCAAACGTCTGTGACAATCATTCAATTGAGGTGCCCTGTGGGTCAGGGAGGGAGGGAGGGAGGGAGGGAAGGAAGCAAGGAAGAAAGGCTGGTCGGCAGGTCAGCCAACCGGTCAGAATTCGGGATATTAAAAGACTGAGCATGGAAGAGGAAATGTAGAAGATTATGTTTTCAATTCTGCCAACCCTGTATTCTCTTAGGCTTCCTGAAAGCTTGGGACTTTTTTCTGAACTACTTATACATCCTAATTGTATAGAGTTCTCTGCTTACATCAGGCTGTAATTAAAGTTCCTACCCCATGTTCACCTCTTTCCGCAATCTGAAGCTTTGAGAGCAAAGCCTGGAAGGGGGTAATGTTCCCCAAAGGAGCTCAGTCTTCTCTGTGGACAAGCAGTCCCATCTATTTTTTCTCTTTGAGGGATACACAAAGACATTCCCTCATTGTGTTTCGTCCTGTCAACGACTCCTTCAATTTCCTGGTAGGCTAGGAGAAGAAAACCCACTTCTCAGCTGACCATTCACGGTCCTGGATCTCAGAGGGTGTGGAAAAGTTAATTCATCCTTTCATTCAGCAAACATTATGGAGTCATGGGCATATGATAGTAAACAAAAGCTGTGCTACCTCCTCTGCCCTCAGAGCCATCATGGAACATCCATTCTCATGGTGAAGATATACTTACAGTTATCACGAGAAAGTAAAACGAAGATTATGAGAGAGGAACTAAAGGGGCAGTAGTAGAAGACTAATCAAGGAAGACTGAAACGTAAAAGATAAGTGGGAGCAAGCCAGTCAGGCAAGAATATGTTACAAGAAAAGGGGACCATATGTCCAAACATAAGGGTAGAGGACGGGAGAGTCAGGGGGCATTTAATTCAGTACAGAGAAAGGGGGACTGATGAGAGATAAGGATGTTAGGGAGTCTGGGCTTTTGAGGACAATAGCAACATTGAAAATTACAAGGATTTCTGCTGTTCAGAAAGATCATTCTGATTTGCAGTGAAGTATACATCAGAAGGGACCAAAACTGAAGCCAGGAATTTTATTTCCTAAAAACTAAGGAGAGTTTTAGGATTCCAGGCAAGATACGTTTGTGGCATGAGTTCGAAAATGGGATGTAGAGAAGTAAATGAATGAGTTAATTATATAAGATTTGGAATTTGGATGTGAGAAAAACGGGGAGAGGGGAGGGAGGGAGGGAGGGAGGGAGGGCCCTCCCTCAGCCCACGCGCCCCGCCGTCCCCGGGGCTCCTGAGGCCGCAAAGAGGCTCGGCCGGCCACGGCCATGGCCACGAGGCTTCCCTCCTGCCCAGGGGGCCCTGCACGCCCACCAGCCCACCGCCCTGAGTCCACCACTCCCTGCGGAGGGCTGGTCCCGCACTTGCACGAGCTCCCTGCCCTGGGCCTTCTCCTGGCCACGTGGCTGACCCCAGGCTGGGGGCCCCTGAGAGCCAGCCCAGAAACAAACACCCGCACCCCCCCTCCAGCCCCAGAGGCGCAGCCGCATGCGGGAGGTCCGGGCAGGCCCACGGGCCACACCTGGTCTCCTCGCCAAGGCTCAGCGGGTCCCGTGGCATCTCGGCGGCGCCGTCCTCAGAGCTCAGGGTGTAGGACAGCTCGGGCGGGCCATTCCCTGAGTGCTGTCTGCTGGGGGCCGTGACCTCCTCTCCCTCCACCAGCGCTCGGGACACCTCCTCCTCCGTCACAGCTTGGGAGGGGGAGGGGGAGGGGGCGAAAGCGTCAGTGGCCTCACCGCAAGCGGCCCCGCAAGCAGCGGCCCCACCATCGCCTCGGCGCTCAGCACGGTCTGCTTTGGGGATGAGGCGGCTGTCTGTCCACCCCGACGGCCAGCACCCGGGAGCAGGGCTGGGTCCCCCAACATTGCATCCCGCCCTGGAGGTGCTGGAGAAACGACAGATGGCCAATGACTGCTTGTGAATCTGAATTTAAGCATTTGCCAAAAGCAGACAGATACTCATAAAAAGCCCTAAACTAAGACAGGTTTTTAAAAGGAATAGACCACACTGTATCTCTTCTATTTCACTCACACATGACAGTTTATCTGAAGTTTATTTATATTAAAGCTATTCACCTAGGAGAAAATAATTGTGCACGTAAGGGTCAAGAACCAGTACAGAGAACGCCAGGGGATTCACAGGAAAAAGGCCTGGCCCTGGAAACGAGCTGGAACCCCAGAGGCGGGAGCAGGAAAGGCCCACACACGTCGCCTCGTGCGTGATGGAGGAGATGCGGGTTGAGACGGCAGGAAAGCACCCCCCAACCCCCCACCCCACCCCTCCAACAGCAAGGCAGCCCGGGGTGGGAGGGGTCAAGGACCGATGGAGCACCCTAACCTGCTGGCATCACCACCTTGGGACCCTGTCGACCAGCAGTGATGCTGCCCGGCCACCCAGACCGTCACGCGCTCCCGGGACAGGTGGGTGAGCATTTGGAGCAGAGGGTACTTAGCAGGATAAAAAGGAGAAGCAGCAGCTCAGCGCTTCGACGGCGGGACCGAGAAACAACGGTGCGGGTTCAGCTGAGATCCTGCACTCCGCGAGGGGCCGCGCCGGGCGGCAGACGGCACAACCTGGGGCACCCTGAGGAGGCCAGCCTCCCCGGCACCTGCGAGAGGGGAGGGGTGGAGCCTGCCCGCGTGCGACCCGGCCCGCGGGCACCTACCCTGGTTGTCCAGCTTCTGCAGGTGAGGCAGGTTGCGCAGGACGGTCATGCGGTAGAGGTGAGGGCAGGCGCCGCAGCAGGGGTTCTCCGCCAGCCACAGCACGCGCAGGCACGGGAGGCCCTTCAGGTAGGAGAGCTCCGCCAGGCTGGGGATGCAGTTCTTGCGCAGGTAGAGCTCACTCAGCTGTCGGCAGCGGCTCATGGGCTCCAGGGTGGAGATGCTGTTGACGCTGCAGGGAGAAGGATGTCAGTGCCCACCGGGGCACCCCCGCCCCACGGAGATGAGAGCACTGCTGGTCCAGTGCCCACCTGCCCTCACCTTAGAAGTAGGTCAGACCCGGCTGCGGCTAGTCAAGTGCAGGGGAGGGCCCGGGCCCAGGAGAAAGCCCTGGGGGCGGGGGAAGCTCCTCCAGCTGAAGGTGGGAGCGGCAGCCCCGGCTCCGTTGAGGCCGCGAGGAGTCAACCTTGGGGGTAGGAGGTCTCAGCCCCCTTATAGGACAGGAGACTGCGTCCTCCCCGGGACACACCAAGCCCAAAGCTGGCAGCGGCCAGGAAAACCCATGTGACCAAGAACCGAGCACTGAACTTCCAAACCCCAGGTTCACAAAAGAAACAGCTACGGGTTTAAATTATGAGTGAACCACAGACAGGAAATCAGTCAGGCACCCGGCAGAGACCTACAGGTTTGAGCTGACGGAACGGAATCACCCCCTGCACACCCAGTCGGACCAGCCGGCTGAGCTCAAGGCGGGCAGCCGAGCATCCTCATGCCCTGAGCCCCAGGCCACAGGGGACCCTGCCCAACGTGCCAGACCGGTCTAGACGACCCTTGGCTGGACGCTGCATTTGTGCTGGGCAGGCTGTCCCAACTCCTGCCTTAGGGCTGCTGCTGCCCCACCCGACACTCACTTGTCAACGTGGTTGCTGGTGTGCTCAGCACCCCCTCGCCTAGCAGCCAGGATGCGGCTGACGCCATCTCACCACGAGCAAACTCAGGCTTCGGAATCCTCACCATCAGGGGAGCCGCGCAGGCCACGGGGTGAAGCGAGAACTTCAACCTGCAGGGGCCTGGAGTCCCCTCCTCGCCTGCGGGGCCGAATGTGTCCCCCAGATTCAGATGCTGAGATCCTGACCCCCAGTGCAGTGGTGTTAGGGGGTGGGGCCCCCATGAGCGGGGTCAGTGCCCTTATAAAAGGGACCCCACAGAGCTCTCCGCCCTTCTGCCAGGTGAGGACACAGGGCGAAGATGCCGTCTGCGAGCCAAGAGGCAGCCCCTCACTAGACCCTGATCTCGGGCTTGTGGCCTCAGAATTGTGAGGAATGAATGTCTGTAAAATCCCACTAGAGCAGCCAGAATGGACTAAGCCTTCCTGCCCATGGGCACCAAGACCAAAGCCAAATGAACTCATCTCACAGGACGGCCAACCCGCATCCAAGCAGCAGTCCCCACACTACGGGGGTCCCACCAGTTCAAGCGGCCAGACAGCCAGGCGACAGCCCTGGGCACTGTCCTCCCCCGGCTGCGGGGGTGAGAACCCCTGCTGCACGACGAGGGGGCCTTCAGCTTGGAGGCCCAGCAACTTGCCCCAGATTCCTCAGACAGCACTCGGCAGCGACGGGGTTAAGTCCATAGCCCACTGCAAATTTCCTGCTACTTCTGGGTAATGAAAGTGTAAGCACTTGTTTGTCAGGTAAGGCCTTCTGGGGCGTGGGCTCAAATCCCAGCTTCACTGATAATCATACCGGGTGAGTGACAGTGGACAGCTGGCGCCCCACCTGCCCCACTGCACGTGCTCCTCCTGCCTCCACCCCACCCCACCCCGGGGCCGCTGCTGCCTTCACCCCCGTCCCACGGGCCTTGTAGCCAGGGAAGCCAAGGCACACAGGCCCGAGCTGGGCTCCGGGCAGGAGACCAGTCCTGGGCCCACTCCTTCATTCATTCCTTCGTCCCGCAAGAAGGTGCTGGCCTGAGCCTGTCGGGTCGGGGCTGGGGGTGCGTGAGCACAAGGTGGGCGGCACGGCACCCACCAGGTGACCTCGGAAGGCACAAAGGAGGCCGAGCAGAGGGCTAGGGAGGGACAAACAGGATGGCCGGCTGTGTGACGAGGAAGGTAAGTGACGGGATCTGCATGGGACCAAGGGCTTACAACCCCACATGCAGGGCGAGTCCTGCGACCTTCTGAGCTGCCAAACAGGGAGTCTACCTTCCTTACAGGGCTTAAATCTCCCTGAGGTTTTAGGTGTGGGGACCTGCAGAAAGCACCCACCCCGGCATCTGCCAGGGTCAGCTCCCTCCCTGGCCCAGAGCGGACAGGACAGAGCTCAGGGCTGGAGGGCGTTCCTCCCTCCACCTGACCGTGCAAACTCCCCAGGCACCTGAAGCCCCAAAGACGGTATTTGTCTCTTTCAAGGTTTCCTTTGTTAAACCGCTAATGATTCTGGAAGAGGTCAACTATTACAAGGACAAATCATGTGATGCAGGGAAGCTGGCAGAGCTCCAGGCAGTGATGGAACCAGCAGGGCAGAAAAGGCTGGCACGCTAGGGCAGACGTGGTCACCCTGGGGCGGCTGCTCACCATTAGGAGGGCGGCACCCACTGACCCCAGGATGGGCAGGGTGAGCTCAGGGGGAGGCCTGGGTGCCCTCCAGGAAGGGGGGCAGAGCTGCACAGCAGCCAGGGCCTCATGCTGCCTGGGCCTGGCCTGCAGCAGCGGCCCTCCCACACCTTGGATGGGAATTTTCAGGTTATCGAAGGGCCTGCAGGAGGGATCTGAACATTCTTCTCCTCTTCCAGCCCCGGTGACTTAAGAGTGGGGCGGGCCGGCATTTGGTACCTGAGGGTGATCACTTCCAGGCTGGGCATCTCCCGGCATATGGAGATCTAGGAAGGAAAAGAATGTGATTTTGCAAAAGTTGCTGGGCACTGGCCCTGTGACATCACCCCTCTCCAACAGCCAGGAGAACCAAGGCGGAGCTGCAGTCCACCCCACGCCAAAGGCCTAAGCAGAGGAGCCTCCCTCGCCCCAGGAGCACGCAGGGCTCTGCATCCCACTCCCCTCTGCAGCCCAGACGTCCCCTCTACCTGATGGAGAAACGGGCACCCTCTCCACGACTTTAAACAGCATCATTACTACCAAACGCTGCCAGCCCTCGAGACAGAGCATTCCTAATTTTAGATGCCCTCAAAGGACATCAGTAAGGGGAGCTGAATGGACAGAGAACCTTTCTTCTTGCTGCCCCTGACATCCAGGGAAAGGACAGAAGCCGCTTCTGGCCAACAGAGCTGTGCCAATAGGGAGACAGGATTGAAACTGGATCTCAGAACATCTTAACACTGACTCAGTAGAAGAGAGCAGCAGGGCTCAGGATGGACCAGGCAGGCTCCCTGACCTGTAAGGCTGATGAACGGTGAAGCCCCAAATATCTGTGTGCCTGCCAGACACCACGCACGGGGCCAGATGGGGTCCCTGCCATCAACAAGCGCACAGTCTGGTCAGAATGCTTCACATCTGCAGTGGATCTGTTTTCTGTTACAGTGGTGTTTTGCTTCATTTGTTTTTGCTGCTGAGTAGGCAGCACTTCAGCTACAGAATGAGGTGGAACTCGCTCTTCTGGACAGGCCTGACAGCATTTCCAACTTTGTTTCTCAGAAAAGGTATGGTTCAAGGTACAAAACAGAAGTCTATAAGAACCCGCTGACTAGCACCCACACTCTGTGCGAGCTGGAGACATTCATCCCAGAAACGGGCGGGTGGGGGCAGAAACCTATTCATGGACATACAGCTCAGCCCAGCGGCCCAGCTCCGTGCTCTGCCCCCACCCAGGCCCCATCTCTTCCTGCCATGGGAGTCGGGGTGAAGCTGGATCAGACCAAGGGGAGAAGCTGAAGTGAAGAAACTCCTCGGGGACGTGAAGTCCAGGAACCTATACACAGAACCTTCCGGCTGAGTGCAATGCTCTTTAAAGTGAACCAAGCCACTGGGGCTCTTCCCCGGGTGGAAGCAGGTCTGTGCCTTGGACCTGCCCGCTCCTCTGTGAGGCCTGCCTTTCACCTGCAGGAGAATGTGTGCAGGAACATCACAGTGCACTTGGGTCCTATAGAATTATTTTTTCATGAGTGGTTCTGTCTTACAAAAACTGCTCAAGGAACAAAGTACTGGTCGGCTGCCTGGATCGAATGGGAGCGGTCTGTCAATTAACCAGCCTCTTGGGGACAGGGGATTGTCTGGAGATGATCAGCATGATACTTACATCAGTGAGGCGGCTGCCCCTGGGGAGAGAAAAAGACATACGCACTTTTATTTTGTTAAAGTTGAATTTAAAACATTAAAAACAAAAATTAATGACAAACGTCTACAGACTTTAAGAGTCTGTGATTTTAACGACAGAGTAAAAGAAAGCTTTTGCAGATAACTGACAAAGTGCCAAAAATCGTTTCCTGGTTGATTTTGGACAAAACTATTTGATACTGGCGGGCTCCTTCGCAGACTAAGGCACGGTAGAGGTTGCCCCATTTGAAGGACACAAAGATTTACTCATTCTCAAGGCTGTTGCACTGAGGGATAATTCCCTCACTAATGTGCATAAACAAGGGAGTCTTTGTAAGGGCCAAGTTCAAAGGCTAAACATGAGACTTATGAAACACACTTCAGAAAGCCTGGAATAGGGCTGTTGTGCCTCCCTGCTTAGGGGAAGAATGACCGCCCCATGCAGAACAAAGGCACGTATTATTGAAAACAATGACGGGGATGCCGTGGCCAAAATGCCAGACGTGCAGCGCAAAGAGAGAGGCTTTTAATGAACAGGCACAGCTCACTGCAGTCAATCTGCCCAACACCAGTGGGAGGACGGTCTACTTCTGGCTGAGCGCCACCTGAACCGTCCAGTGTACGGGGCACGTGGAGCCGTGCTCTGCACCTCCAGTGAACGTGTGCGGACCTTTCCGGAGTTTCAGACGTACTTCTGGTCCTTCCTCGGCTCAGCCAGGCCTGGCCGCCCTGCCTTTGAGCCTGCACCTGTATCTCTTCCTGTCACCTCGCGGACAGTAAGTTCCCTGGGGACAGCCCCTCTCCGTACCCCTCCCCCCCCTCCCGCGACCACCCTAACAAACAAATTTTCTCACA